CACTGTTATCATAACTGCCACTAAGGCGACGATTTATTTACTGAAACCTCCCTTGACACTAAGAAACAGGTATTTTAAAAAGCAATGTGATAAACAGGAAAATGCCATAGACCTGCCAGGTAAACGTTTAAGAGTCTGACAGAAGTTAGATGAGAAAAGGCCCCAAGTCAATCCTGAGAAGAAATTTCTGTGTCACACGACAAGTTATTCTCGGAATAGAAAAGGGAAGCGCAATAACAAGCAACCAATATAGGTTCCTTGCATTTGTATGAAGTTAATTACCAGCAGGCATTCCATTCTTATCAGAACCCATGTTCCAGCAGCCCATGCTTCTATAATGGAACTTGCCTCAATGGATTCACACCTAAAAAGTATCTTTGTGTATGCCCAGCTGGTACATATGGAGAACAGTGTGAGAAAGGTATAGTCATAATATTAGGCCATAATCGCAAACGAAAATGACATTGCAGAGTATAAACTTTCAAACTAGAAGACAAATACAAGGAAAAAAAAAATTTCTACTAAAAAAAGTTGAGTTAGTGACCAGAACGGTAATGAGAGAGGCCCGCATTGTCTGTTATGAGTTGTTACATCAAATGAAGGGTGTTTTCATAGACACACTTTGAGAACTTTTTTACCTCCGCGTAGCACGCAACGGTTAGTAAATATTTATTACCTCAACTATGACAGTTCGCCCAGACGTTAGCAATTTATAGTGGACGGGAGGTGGCGAAGCGTTAAATAAATGTAACGTGGCGTTTCCCCACCTTATTCAAAAAGAAAAAATGAAGAGAAAAAACGGCTGATCGGAGGCAAAGAGGTTTCATGACTGCTTGTATAGCTACTATAGCTCTACTGTAGCTCTCTAGCGTCGTATTCGTTTTATTACATGGACAGGAGTGTTTCACAGGGATCTAAGCACTCTTTGAACCAATGTGACTACTATACATCAACAACTGAGAGGCGTATTTTTTGCATGCGCCTCCCGGCCATCGATCGGCCTCGGTTGTTAACATTCTCCTCGGACTGCATAATTATTAACATCAGTCATACTCCGCCTCATTCAGTAACTGTTAAACAGCAATGCCACCCGCTTAATGTAACACATTTTTGTCCTTAGTTGCCAGAAGTTGCAAGGAACTCTACGACAAAAACATGTAAGTAATTACAGCGAAAAATCTGGATTTCCTGCTTTGGCAAATACGGGGCAAAACATATTATACCATAGTTCCTGTGTTACAGGGATTCAAGCCACAAAATTTAGCACGAATATATAGGTCTTATTATTCAGAGAATAAAAACATCACTCTTGTGCTTATATACATGTATAGCATGCAAATATGTCAATATTTGTTAACCTTTTTGTTATTCTTAGCAGAGGCCCTCCTGCCTTTAGTTAGTACACGCAAAAGGAAATACTCGACTTCTCCCAACTTTTTTCCCAGCCTCCAAAAGCATGGGTTTGAATCTGTTGACACAAAAATAAAACATGATGTTCCTCGCAGAAGGCGCACAACCCAACAGTGAGTAGGTGTTCCCACATTCATTGCGGTAAAAAAACACCATACACCGCCAACAACAACAACAGCTCCTGGTTATTGCCAATTCAGATCAATAACCATTAAATAGTTTAATACCATCAACTGACGTGATGCAATTCACTTTGACTCTGAGGATGACTACTGCAAGGTCTTCGAAACGTCAGTCACTGTCAACAGCAGTCCTATTTAGGACTAAACTCACCCAAACGATCCTATGCCACCGACTTATGAAACAACAACTCTGTGTAGACCTATTTGTCAGGGGTTACCCAACTAGAGGAGTTTAAAAGTCCTTTCATTTTTCCAATACATGCTGATTTCTGGTATTTCCTTATTACGAAATTAATCTCGCAAATAATTTTTTGCATTCACGCTCATTTCGTCTCGAACTCAGGATTTCTGGTGATAAAGCCTACTTACTGAACTTGGATTCAGTTGTTCTTCCTGTTTACTGTCACATGGCCACTGACCTTGGATCGTGTAGACGTGGTGGATGGACGCTGGTCATGAAGATTGACGGTATTAAGGTATATTGATACTCGTCAGTGCTTATTACCCTAATCACTATTCTCAGTGCTTAACCCTAATCAATGCATCGTTGCTTAGCCTTAATAACTATTTTCAGCGCTCTCAACCTAACAACCATGATCAGTTCTTAAACCTGGTACTTTGTGCAGGCATTGTAAGGTGCCGACACTAAGGGTAGGTAAGAAAACACTTTGCAGTTTCCTCAGAATCGATTTCTTATGGCTGTAACACAAACATGAAATCCAGGAACTTCTTCATTGCGCACACAGTTTCTGTATAATGATGACGCCGGAAATGGTATTTAGTTATCCACATCTACTTGCTTTTTTTTGTTTTTGTTTTGTTTGTGTTCTTTGTTTTTCTGTTTTTTTTTTTTGTTTTTTTTTTAACTGTTTATTTGTCTACAACGTTTTGTTGAAGTAAACTGAGAAAGATTGTAACTCTTCAAAAAGCCATAACAGGACAATTAGGATAGCAGCCTGAATGAGCGCCACGTTCCATTCACAATGAATTCGCAATAGAAATATAAACTGACTGCCATTTGATTGTTAATAGTCGCTCAGAAATCTTACACAATTTCCCCTTTTTTTTTATTAGCAGTTTCATGATGACTCTACCCTGGTGAAGAGAAATAAGGCTCAATATAGCACATACAATAGCACGAATGGGATTTAATTCATATTTCTCTTCGTTTTCTTAGAATACCTTTCACTATGACTCTTCTTACTGGAGCAATAAGACTGGACACAGCCTCAACAACGGGGCCACCGGGTTTTCAGATTTTCTGGAGACAAAGCTACCGAGCTACTGGAACTCATCCTTCACTAAGATCTGTCTCGGAATGAGAATCAAAACCAGCTCACAGATAGCCTTTATTGTCATGAACAAGGAGGCCAGATCACTATACTCGCTTATTGCTGACGGACAATACAGCGCGACTTCAATAGGCCGTAACCAGTGGAAGGCGCTGATGGGAGTTGACGCTACCTTGCAAACTTTTTGCGACTACGAAGGGTTCAATGTAGTATGCTCTGACAGCGCAAGTTCACGCGCCAGGATCGGTATCGTGAATAACGACAATGATTTGTGCAACACGTGCGACTCCAGAATTGGGTTTGGTACAGGAGGGTATATTGATGACACAAACACGTGCGGGAACGTTGGGCCTGGCACATCAGATAACGGAGGCAAAAATGTAAAGACCATGGGATACATTTTTGTACAGTAAAAGTAACCAATCGACCCAACATTAATTTATTAATTAATTAACCATTCAGTCAGTTTATTACTGATTCAATCATTTTCGTATTTCAAAACAAACGCGCCGTTGAAGCTTCTGAGCTGAGTTCGATGCCTTTAACAAGTGACGGATTCCGTTCAATGTATAAGGGCAGTGTTGACTACACTGCAACGACTCACTTACCGCGCTTTCAAGCACAATTAAATAGAAATACACATCTCAGCCTTCTCAAATTCTAAGGACTGGATTTTTATTTGCTGCTTCACACTAGAAGCCAACGTCAGTGAAAAAAAATAAATAAATAAAAACATTCAAGAGACGATAACCACACTATTTTATCACCACTAAACCTCGTACTGGCTTAAATTAACTGTTAACTGTTAACTGTTATATTATGCGCTGTATAAAAAATAAACGTCACCTTCTAACCACCAAACAAACGAATTCATTGAACCTTTTTTTTTTTCTGTAGAAAACGAGGTAACCCACAAAATGAAACCTACGGGATCATTTTCTGCTTCTTCACTTGCAAACGAGAAAAACGATCTTAGTTTATTGGCTCTTGGGGTCTAGAAATACTTATTTCTCTTCCAACTTTTGTAGGTTTCAGTGTGGATTTGTAAGTATACAAAATCCCAATCAACAATCTTTTGAGCCTGTGATCAGGTTCTACTCTTCGTAACGCATGGCAATTAAATTCCGGAAGAGCTCTTCTTGAATTCAGCCTGATCGCAGGTTAACGTTGTCTTTGTTACTTAGCTTTCTTGAGCCAATTAGTTTCGTCCATGAACCTTTATACTGCGATTCTCATTCTCCATCCAGTGGTCCAGTTCCAACTCTTCGATAATTATGGCCTATTTACTCTTATTGGTTTTCTTCCGTAACCACCTAAAGGACATAAGTATTAGCGAATTAAACTCCTCTCTTAAACGAGTTTTGAAGAGCAGGCTTGCATAATGAGCGTTAGCATTATCCACACTCCAGATGCCTCATTTCTAGGAGTGTCTTTATAAAGAAAATTTTAGAAGGACAAACTTACGGGAACTGTTGTCAACAATTGAATAAGCCCGAAAAAAACAGACAGCCAACATTTCGCGACGCCACTGATGACGTGTTGCTACCCAGATCTGGGAAGTGTTTCTGATTGGTTGAAGAAGATTTCCAAGGCAACAAGACCAATCAGCAGAACAACCAGATCTGGGTTGTGACATGTCACCAGTATTTTCCTCACTCATTCACTTGGATGGGGTGTGGCTGAGGTACTGGGATGCTTTATAGCATTTTTGACTGTCAAGTAAAACTGACGGAGATGCTTGTCTAAAAATACGAATTTAATCCCCCACAGGTCTGGATCAATCTGGGCGTGACTCAGGCTTTATTTGACCCCTAAAGGAGTCCTAGTCTGCTACACAGCTGTTTTTAGTGACGACACTAAAAACGGCTGTGTAGCAGACTAAAGGAAACCATTCTCCAACACGATATAACAGCATCACTTGCGGTTAAAAATAATAAGCTTACGGTCCTAAAACCAAACGTGAGACCAAAATCTGCAGTTTTCAACCTTAAGCGAGACGACCAGCATCCCAGAGCCCCCAAAATACCTAAAATAACATGATAAAATGATGGAGCAGCCCTTTCTCCCCCAGTGAAGGGGGAAGCGAGCGAAAGGGGGGAGGGAAGGGTGAGCGTACTTACCAATTGAACAGGAAAGGCGAATACTGTGCAAGATATAACTCGAACATCCTCTTGGGAATTGCAATCCATACTTCATTTAAACCGTTTACCATTGCTATCGTGATGAGGTTCACACATCTTTCTGTTTTGATGGTCGTTGGAGGAAATGGCCGATCTTTACGAGTCTGTCGAGTACAAGGAAATAACTATCAAAATACATAGCGGAGTTCCTGCATGCGTGACGTTACCTACTACAGTGAAAACTGGTTATAAGGAAGTGTCTAGAAGGGACTTTAAAATGTCCTTTTAAAAATTAAAGAAGTGCCGTGTAAGCGATACGTAATGAGAAATTATAGTTAGAAATACATGTCATATCAAATCTATTACTGAAATGAAGAGCAAAGGTTTAACTTTCACCTTGTTATTAGAGCACTCGCGTTTACTACAAATATACAACCAGGTATAAAAGAAACAGGACCATTTGCCCCAGACTGGCCCCAAAATCGATAATGATGATGACCAAAACGAAGAATTCACATAAAAGAATAACAATTCATACTACACGATGACGATGATGATGACGATGATGATGACGATGATGATGATGATGATGATGGTGATGATGATGATGGTGATGATGATGATGATGATAGCGATCAAGTTGATGATGATGATGACGGTGACGGTGACGATGGCGATGACGGAAAACAAATTACAGTGAAACCCCTATTAAGCGGACCCTCAATTAAGCGGACACCCTCTATTAAGCGGACACTAAGCTGGGCCCCGAAACGTACGTCTGATATTTCCCTTTATAACGAACCCCTATCCAGCGGACACCTTTATTAAGCGGACGCGGACACTAAAATAAGTTGTATTGAGCTAATTTCTATTGTTAAACACCTCTATTAAGCGGACGCCGGACTGAATTGACAATAGTAGTATTGGATTACCTCCTTGAAACACGTACTGAAGTCAGTTAATGTTTTTGCATTTACAAAAAAATTAAAGTTGGTAATGAAAGGTAATGAACTTGAACTTGGATAGCTTCTTTAACAACATGCAACTTTATCACAGTACAGAGTAACTGTTGAATGTTGATCGTTAACAAACATTGCGCAATTTTTGCAACCTCTATTAAACGAACAACCTTCATTAAGCGGACACTTGGGAAGGTTCCGAAGGTGTCCACTTAATAGAGGTTTCACTTGTACGTGCATAAGAATTACAATAATTCATACGACATTTAGCAAGTCCCTACCTGTGTATTTTCCCGCAGCGCATTCCTTAAAAGGTTGGAATAAACTAAACCAGGGCAAACCAAAGTGATGCCAATATTATGACTGTGAACTTCGGAGCGTAGGGAGTTGAAATAGCCCTACATATTATAAAAAGAGCATATTCCTCGTTACGCCTTGGAAATTTAAAGTTTGAATTTAAGGACCTAATTATCCTCTCCCCTTTTTAATACAGGGCTTTTCAGGGATAATAAAACAAATGATTCAAAAAGAATATAACATGGTTAAGAATCTCAACTGGTGGGAGACGAACCAGTTGGTTACTTTTCAAACTTGGCCGAGAATTTGAGCTCGGCACTACCGAGAACAAATCCAGCTTGTGGTCAGGGGGCGATTTGAACTCTGGGCCTCCGGATAACAAGTCTAACGTTCTAACCGCTCGGCTACGCTGCCTCCCTGAAATTACTTCCTTTTACTTGAAGATTAGGGAGCTTAAGTAACCATGACGACAACGACAACAACAACGTCTAAAACCAGTTGGTTTTATGAACAAAAAGCTTTTTAGTACATTTCTTTGACGTCCACTGCACGACTACGACCTGAAACCTCCTAATGCAACGTTTTATACAGGACTTGAACAAACTATGACGAATTTTCCTTTCTCTTTTTGAACCGGGATAAAAACCTTAATAATTCAACTCCAGGAAAATCGCCTATATTTTACCAATTGAGCGGGTCCAAATAGACGCGAAAAAGTTTGAAAGGACGTATATTGATTTTCTTTAGCGACGTTTTCACCGACATCCTCGTCGTCGTTGCTTAAGTTCCCTCATAAGTATTGACAACTGTGTGAGTTGTTCCCTTCAATCGTTGACCTGTAATGAGCCTCTAAAATGCTCTGTTACATTAACTTATTGTTATCATGTGATGTAAATGGAAAGGTAAACATTGCTTTACCTGAAGAGCATGTTTAGAAGCTCCGTAAGCTGCGGTATTTGGACCAGCGGCTGTAAAAAGGAAAGAAAGTCATTAGATATAGTACTTGTTTAGCCATTTACATGGGCAAACCGGTCGGTTCACAGTTTGGGCAAATGACAAGCAAAATTCAAAACTGGTATATTTCGTCCTAGAATCGCTTTTTCCATTTGTACAAATCAGTCCCATTTCACGAAAAAAGGACGCGAGGGCCTGAAACAAAAATGGCTTTGAAGAAATGACACACGAACTACCGTTTGGAAATAACAGGATTACCTTTTCAGATTTTCCGTTGCTCCCGGAAATTTTCCGCTGGAACGACCCAAAAAGTCACGTTACATTTACCTCCCCATCGGATTTTCCGGTAACTTTTTGTAATTGGTAAACAACCAGTATTGCATGTAGCATTGGCAATGACAAGAGAACGGGCATATCGAGAAAAGGGTAGCCTGTGAACAGGTTCTCTGTTTCCCTTCCCCAGCTCTCCTCGCGATTTTTTCACCCTTTCACCAAACAGAGAGCCTGTTCACAGGCTAAGAAAAGGGCGAGGCTTGAATTTTAGGAGAGAAAATCGGGAGTAAATAAAGTTGCCCTAACTTCCATTTTACGCGAGCAAATTCTACAAATGAAGCAGCAAACGTTTACCACAATTTTTTATTAGCTACTTTTTAACTTTCAAAGGGCCGAGACTATGGACCTTACGATCCCACAACGGCCACTTCCATGAAAATCTCGCTAAAAAATAGAACTCTGCATCCTTTCAAACCATTTCGTAGTTATCCCAAGTCGCCCAGTATCTTTAAAGAAGAGTTCAGACAGAGATGGTAAAATTTGGCCGTTCCCGTCCTCAGAAAAAAATAAAATTTGGCCATATCCAGTCGTAGTCACGTAGCGACAGCAAAAAAAAATTAATGTACAAAAAAAGCGTGATGCACTAGCAGAGTTATTGTTTGCGAACTAAAGTAGTTATATAATGATGCCATGGTACTCACTCACTTGGTACTTTTCCCCTATCATTATTCAATTATTTCCGTCATCCCACCCAAAATTTCAATGACGGAATTTAGACTAACAAATTTTTGTACTTTTTTTAATTAATTTCTGAGTTTATCTTCTATCATTGTTCAATTAATTTGTGTCTTACGTCTTGTACTTTTTTCTGGTTATTTTCTATCATTGCATTTTTTTACTGATCATTTATGTCATTACTCGATTAAGCACTGTTATCAACTATTTTCTGGTAAAAGCTGTTATCTAAAATTGAATCAGAAAAATAAAATGGCTTAAAGAGATTAATATAATAAGATTATAAAGGGAAATGGCTGAAAAATCGCTTATAACTGATAAAGATTACAAGAGTTTATCTTTGGCTGAATTAAAAAAAATATTAAACCAGAAGAAACAATTAATTAAGGATAATTACAAAGAATTAACTGAAAAAGAAAGAATAATTCATGATATTAGAAAAGTAGATAAACTCAATGAAAAAATAAAAAAAGGTGTTAATATCAAAAAAGAATGGAAAAAGAAATTAAAACCCAAAAAGATAAAATCATTCGATGAGTATTTTCAAGAATGTATTAAAAATAAAGAAATCCCAGAAGATACCCCTCCTTATTTTCGTGAGGCTCTTGAGAGAGCTATTAAGGAGCATAATCAAGGAGTTGTAAAAGAAAAATCAGCTTTAGATGAATTTGCTAAAAAACATATAATAAAGGGAGAACCTGGTATTACTCCCTTAGAGTTTTTTGGAAATAAAATAACTATTCTTAAAGATTTTATTAGAAATCATCGAAATATCAAAGTAAAGTTTGTTTTGGTTTGTATGATGGAAAAAGAGGAATTCGATGATAAACATATAATTAAAATTCAGGACAAAGCATATTTTCATTCAGATACTTATATTAATCTCAAATCAACCGATGTAAAAGATTTACTTAAAAAAATTATCAGTAACATCACAGAAAAGATTAATATTTATCAACAAAATGGTAGTGGGTGGTATTTTAAAGAAGTTATTCAACTTGAAATTCATACTGTTAAATTTAGTCCAATGAAAGGTTCTTCTTATATTCCTCTTCCAGATTGGATTATGAGAAAAAAAGCAATTGTTAGTATTCGAAATAAAGATTCTAAATGTTTTTTGTGGTCTATACTTCGTTATCTTCATCCAAGAGAAAAGAATGATTGTCGTTTGAAAGATTTAGAACAATATGAGCATGAGCTTAATATTCCTAAGGGATTTACTTTTCCAGTTAAAATCAGAGACATTACTAAATTTGAATCTATTAATCCAGATTTACCAGGTATAAATGTATTTTCAGTTACACACAACAATAAGTTTTATCCTCTTCGGATGGCGTTACGCGACCCTCAAAAATCAATAGATTTATTTCTTTATGAAGAGAATGGAAAATATCATTATTCTCTGATTAAAAACTTTTCTCGTCTTTTTCGGTCACAAATCACTTATAGAACAAATGAGCCAATTCATATTTGTAAGAGATGTTTTACTCATTTTACAAAAGAAGAATTATTACAAAAACATATTTTATATTGTTCGAATAACGAGTCAGTTTCTGTGAAAATGCCAAAATCAGGATCGATTTTACATTTCAAAAATCATCACAAACAACTTCCTATTCCTTTTGTAGCTTATGCGGATTTTGAGTGTTTTACCAAACCAATGAATACTTGCTGTCCTAATCCAGAAGATTCTTATAATTACAATTACCAAAAACATGAACCATCAGGATTTTGTATTTTTATTAAAGGTGTGGTTGATAAAAAAATCAAACCAATTGTTTATTCGAAAACAGAAGAAGACGAAGATATAGCAAAAATATTCGTAGAAAAACTAACAGAAGCAACTAGAGGAATTTATAATGATTTTTATCGTAAACCAAAATCTCTTATACTAACCCAAGAAGAACAAAAATCATTTGACAAATCGGAATATTGTCATATTTGTAACAAAGAATTATTGGAAGACAAAGTTAGAGATCATTGTCATTTTACGAGTCAGTACCGAGGTGCTGCTCATAACAGTTGTAATCTTAATTGTAGGAAACCTTTAGTTCTTCCAGTTATATTTCATAATCTTCAAGGTTATGATGCTCATTTGTTTATAAAACAACTCGCAAGTTTACCAGGAGATTTAAATTGTATTCCTTCAACAGAGGAAAAATACATATCCTTTTCTAAAAAGATTAAAGTTGATGAGTACAGGTCTAAAAAAACTGGTCAAATGATGTCTTTATATTTTGAAATTCGTTTCATAGATTCGTTTAAGTTTCTTCAAACATCACTTGCTAATCTTGTTTCAAATTTACAACCAGATGATTTTCATAATACAAAACGAGAATTTAAGAAAAATGTAGATCTTCTTACTCGGAAGGGAGTTTATCCTTATGATTATGTTTCATCACTTGAAAAACTATCCGAAACACAATTACCACCAAAAGAAGAATTTTATTCGAAACTAAATGATGAAGACATAACCGAAGATGATTACCAACACGCAATAAATGTGTGGAATACTTTTAAATGTAAATCATTAAGAGATTATCACGATCTTTACCTAAAGTCTGATGTCCTACTTTTGTCAGATGTATTTGAAAACTTTAGAAAAACTTGTCTAAAACATTACAAGTTAGATCCAGCGCATTATTACACATCTCCAGGTTTAGCTTGGGATGCTTGTCTCAAAGAAACAGGGCAGGAATTACAGTTACTACATGATTATGATATGTTAATGATGATTGAAAAAGGTATTCGTGGTGGAATAACACATATATCGAAAAGATACGCAGAAGCTAATAACAAATACATGAAAACTTATAATCCTGATGAGGAGACCTCCTTTATTCAATATCTAGATGCGAATAATCTTTATGGTTGGGCGATGTCTCAAAATCTTCCAACACATGGATTTAAATGGATGAGAAACCTAACAAAAGAGTCACTAATGGAAATTTTAGAAAAAACAAATCATAGTATGTCAAATCGTGGAAGAAAAGGTTATATATTTGAAGTTGATTTGGTATACCCTAAGCATCTATGGGAAACACATAATGACTATCCTCTAGCACCTGAGAAGATGATTGTTAATGGCGTTGAAAAACTAATTTGTCATTTTAAAAAAAGAAAAAACTATGTTGTTCATTATCGTAATCTTAGACAATATCTTGAAATGGGAATGAGAATAACTGCGGTTCATAGAGGAATATCTTTTTACCAAAGTCCATGGATGGAGCCATATATACGAAAAAACACTGAACTTCGAAAAACATCAGCCAATAGTTTTGAGAAAGACTTTTTCAAACTTATGAATAACTCTGTGTTTGGAAAAACAATAGAAAATATACGAAAAAGACAAAATATAGAACTCGTTGATAATTGTAAGAAAGCTGCTAAACTAACAAGTCGTCCAAACTTTGATAGGGCTACGATATTTGATAAAAATCTTATAGCTGTTCATATGAAAAAAACCGAAGTTTATTTTGACAAACCAGTATATGTTGGTCAAGCAATTCTTGATTTATCAAAAACATTGATGTTTGATTTTCATTATAATTACATAAGAAAGAAATACAAAAATAAAGCTGAATTATTGTTTACTGATACTGATAGCCTTATGTACCAGATTTACACAGATGATTTTTACAAAGATATATCTCGTGATATAAAAAAAAAGTTTGACACTTCTGATTATCCTCCCAATCATGAATCTGGAATATTGACAGGAGTTAACAAAAAAGTAATTGGGATGTTTAAAGATGAAGTAGCAGGAAAACAAATAACTTGTTTTGTTGGATTACGACCTAAACTTTACAGTTTTAAAATAGAAGAGGATAAAGAGGTAAGAAAGTGTAAAGGAATAAAGAAAAATGTTGTGAAAAAGAAATTAGATTTTGATGACTATGTTCAATGTTTATTTTTAGGTAAAAAACAAATGAGAAAAATGAATATAATAAGAAGCGAAAATCATGATATATATTCAAAAGAAGTTAACAAAGTAGCTCTAAGTAATGAAGATGATAAACGTGAAGTTCTCTTGGGTAAGGTAAAAACAATAGCTTTAAGATAGGTGAATTTAATAAAATTTAATAATAAATGTTATATACAGAAGACCAAGTAAAGAAATATCTTGGAATATTGGGTGATTATAGTATTAATTCCTCAGATGAATCAAATTTAAAAGCTAAATGTTGTGCTTGTGAAAACAGAACATCTTTTACCATTGATTGCGGTTATAAAATTTGTGATGAATGTGGAGTAGCAAACGGACATGTATTAGGCTTTTACGATAATAAAGATTTTGATAGATTGCATTATCGAAAAAAGAGCGTATATCAACGTAAGTATTACTATGAAAAAAAGGTTAATAAAATTTCTAAAAGAATAAACCTAACCAACGAACAAAAAAACGAACTTTATAGTAAGTTAATGGAAATAGACAATCACGTCATGGAAATACTAAACAAAGAATACAACAGAAAGAGAATGATAAGTATCAAATATTTAATTAAAAAACTTTTGGATGAGATGGGGGGTGAATCGAGCAAAGCGAGCAAACTAATTTATCTTAAGATTTCACCACAAACTTTAAATAATTATGAAAATTGGTGGGATAGTTATAAATCACTCAAAACAGGATAGATTTTAATATCAAAATGATATTAAAATCACTGTTTACTTAGTCCGAACTTTTTTTTATACCTACTAACAAATCTATCTGCTATAGGTGTTTGGTCGATTATCATTTCATCTACCAACTTCATGCGATCAACAAACTCTTCTTTGTTCCACTCATCTCCTCGAAGAGCTGCACGCAGTTCAACAAGTACTTTTTCATAATTAGTGAATGCAATTCTTGTCATCTCAATTTTTCTCTTATAATTATTTTTTTTTCCTATTCCTGTCACAATAACTCCAGCTCCATTTACTACTCCAAGAACAACAGGGTTTAGGGTTATTCCACCAGAAATAGTTCCTATTGCAACCAAACATCCCAGATATTGTAAAAACGTCATCAAGAAATTTATAACTCTTATACGATTTCTTAAAACACCAGTATTTCTTGTGGTAGTGTTTATAAAAGTCTTTGAGGGTTTTAACTTCTGATTCTGAAAGAGATTTATCTATGTGATTGAATTCAAAGATATCCTTCATTTTATTCTTTTGTTTATATTACCCCTCCCTTGGCTACACCACCTATCTAAATTACATAACTTCCATTTAACTTTTCTTGAAGCATTACTTTATGATATTGATCAGAGCCGATGTCGTAAAAGTTTGTAGAGTACATTAATCTTAATATCACTCCATCTTCAGTTGTAAACTTCCACGTTGATTAGCATTGTAATTAACAGCTGGTATAGTTAATGTTGAGCTGTAGTTACTTATTGAAGCTTTTGTGACATTTGCACTAAGATTTTCTGCTAGCCATAAAACAATTATTTTTCCATTAAAACTACTTAGCGTAGTAAAATTTTGAGTTGTTTTGTTGACAGTTAAAGTTACTTTATTGTTTGATTTATTATAATCCAATTTTACTAAAATATTATTGTTTGTTGATAAATATTTAGTTAGGGTAAAACTCCTATTTCTCCAATGACTAAAAACAATACATAAAGTAGATTTCGAAGAATGTGAAGGAGAAAAAGTAATATCATAACCATTAATATGTAATCCTTTTTCTGATATTTCACTTAGGTCTTTATTATGAGGTAGTGTTATATTAGGTTTCAAAGAATTAATAATAACTCCAAATGAGCCTATATTTATTCCGTAAGTATCCGCATCAGCAAAGTCATAGAAATCACTAAAGTATAATCTATACAAAGCATTTTTAGTGTGAGGAGCTAGTTCTTTTACTAATGCAACTGTTGCAGCACTATTATCATTTTGTCGGTCAAGTTTGATATTTTTAATTTCTTTTTGATTTGCATTTATATCAACGTTGTACACCACTTCTGTTGGTTTAATATCAAATGCGGTGTGATAGTCGTAAACTTTATCTGGATCGATATTGCTAAATGTACCCACAATTCCATAAGCAATGATGTAAACTCCTGAAAACAGTCTCGGATACGTAGATATGTTATATCCACCCCGAAGAATATCAACCAAAATGTGAATAAAGAACTTATTCCCAGATGGCAACTTCCGGAAATTAATTATTATTCTGTGGTAGTACATAACTTTTGTTAGCTTATTTGAATCGGTATATCTATGGGATAGTTTTTTTACAATTACATTTCCAATTGATAATCCTTTTGAAGTTCCTTTGTCAACACTTATTTGTGTATTATTCCAAAGATTATAATCAGTGTTGAGTATTTCCAAACATAGTGTGTATTCGGTATTTGCAGTTAGTCTGTAAAAATTAATTCCCGTCTTATATTTATATTTACCTTCAGAATTTTTGTTTATAGTCATGAAAATTACTTTGTGGTTATAGTCATGAAAATTACCTTTAGAAGGAGATAAGTCTCCTATCTTATTTATAACAAAACTAACTCCTCCATCTATTTCATCAGTCCATTGAGACCCACTTGTCATGAGATAACTAAACTCATCTTTATAATGACTTGGTTGAACTGCGGTATGATGAACTAGATTGTCAACATAACCTTTGTTTACTGCTTCATTGTCTTGGGTTGGTACACCCAGATTCTTTATTTTATTACCACCAAGGTTGACATCGGCTTTTATATCCCCACTTATTACAATTTTAGGTGTGTTGATTTCTATTCTCTTAAGTGGTTTGGTTATTGCTTTTGGTAGATCAGTGAATAGCCGACAAGTGATAGCTGTGTGATTTGAATTGTTATGGGTTCTTAGTTTTACTCCTGACATATTATAATTCCAAGACTTGTGAATATTTAATGACCAAGTGCCAGTGCGATTTCCACTTACCCAAAAATTAGAATTGGAATGAGAGTCATCTCTAGGAATAAACCACAAAAAGTCAACGTTTATATTTCGCGAACCAAATTGAAATTCTATTTTGTTAATGTATGTGTTAGCAGTTGGTTTCCACCCTACAAGAGGTTGACCAGGTGTTGATGTTGTAAAAACAAAATCATCAAATGATGAACCTGAGATATATTGTAGATACAAAGTCGTTGGCGCAGCTGGATCTGTTATAGTAAACACACCACTTGTTCCATCTCCAGAATGATGATCAAACATTTCTATTTGTTTACGAACCCATCCGCGATTAGCAGCTTGTTGATCTGTGGTGGGGTCACTGAGGTTAACTATTTTATTATTACCAAGATTAAGGTTTCCTGTCATAGTGACGGTACCATCTTTTTCCAAGTAATCACTCAAATCTGGGGCACCTGTGTTATCATCCACATATTTCTTTGTTGCGGCGTCTGTGTTTGACACTGGAGTTGCGAGACCAACTATTTTTTTGTTTCCAAGATTTAGGTTACTAGTCATTGCAACACTTCCATCCTTTTTTATAAAAGAACTAGTATCAGGTATTGAGTCGTCCACATACTTTTTCGTTGCACCGTCTGTGGAGTCTGTTGGTGGTCTAAGGTTAATTATTTTTTTATTATCCATGTTTAGATTATTAGTCATTTTATTTGTTCCAGCAACGTGGAGATACTTCATATCTGTGAAACCTAATGGTGTTGGTTGTTTAGGACCCATTGGAGCTGGCAGATTTAATATTTGTTTATTATCCATATTAAGATTTCCTTTCATTGGGTAAGATCCATCTCTGTCAAGAAATGTGTTGTCTACGTAATATTTTGTTGCTGGATCTTTAGAATCCTGTGGTGTGATAAGGTTTAAAATACGATATCTATCCTTCATATCAATGTTTGAATCAACTGTTAATCGTGTTGTTGTTTGTGATCCACTAGAATTATCATCAACATATTTTTTTGTAGCAGCATCAGTATTATTACTAGGTGCACCAACATTTGTAAGTCTTTTTTTATTAATATCATAATTTCCATCTGCTGTTAGACTAAATCCAACTCCTGGAGCACCCTGAATTCCTTTAGCAAAAGGATGATCAAAAGTTTGTTCGTTAAATATTCCCATTTTATATAATAATTATATTTTTTTATAGATTACTAGTAAAGTTTTTTGCAATACGTTTTTTAGGTTTATCAATATATAAAAATGAAAAGGGTTTTTTTGTTGCTGATTTATAAACCTCTTTATCAACTCCTAATTCTGATGATATGCGATTTGCTTCCCTTGATGATGGAAATTCATACATACAGTAGTGAGAACAATTTAATCGAATATCCTTTGGAGTTTTGTAAAATGATTGACTGAGATATATTACAGAGCAATTCTTATGTCTTCCTTGGATGAAATAATCAATAAGTTGTCTCTGGTTTTTATCACAAACGTAATCATCAAATATCACAAGTTTTTGATTGTCTTCGTAATCCAAATCTGACACTGGAATTATTTCATCATTACTTACATGAAGTATTTCATACCCCATTTCACTACTCAACTCCCTCATTTTTTGAATTAACTTTTGATACTTATCCTGTTCTAGATTACGCGCATAAAGATAAATCTCATCATAGTATAATAGTGGTTTAATTAACATATGATAAAGCAAATTAGTTTTACCACTTCCACTGTTTCCACAAATTAACATTCGAAAAGTATCCGCTGGCATAAAAGGAAATAGCTGTTTATATTTTTTATCTGGATCATCAACACTATCATAGTTTGGTATTTCCATTTATCTATTTATTATATAAAATGGATATTGAAGAATACAAAAAACTTGCAAGAAATAAAATTGAAGCTGACGCTTTAACTCAACAGGTGAGAGATATAATAAAAATAACAAAATGGCAAAAACAAAATATGAGGGAAGGTTTTAAAGAAACATTTCAACCTCTTATTGAATCTCAAGATAGCATTAAAAAAAGTATTGATGAGCAGCAAAACGCAACTATAGCACAACTTCAAGCTAATCAACTTGCATTAACATCAGGATTGGAAAAAATTAATGAAACTAATTTAAGATTGGCTGAAATGAGAGAATTACCAGCTTTGGAAGGTGATTATGAAGAACCAACATCATCTAAACCAAAATCACCTACACGTTATAACATTGAAAAAAATCTTGATAATGTTGACTTAGAAATATTAAAAATGATGGAATATCCAAGGCCAAATGATTTTTTTGATACTAACCCTGAAAGACTTAAAGAAATACTTGATGAAGTAAAAAATGATGTAAAAGTTTTTACAGGAGAAATAGCTGGTTTGAATAGAAAAAAACATAAAACAGAAGAAGATAAAGAAGAAATAGAAAGGATTAAAATGCAAAAAGATTTTCTACATAAATACAAAAACATTCTTAAACTTTATTTAGGTTCGCTTGAGTATCAAATGGGAGAAGGAATGATTTACTTTAACAACCCACTTCAACTTCTAGACAGACTTGAATTACTAGGTGGTTCAATTCTTGCTGGAAATAATGGTGTAATACCCGAGTTTTCTCAAATAGCACATCTTCTCAATCAAATGAAAGTAATCTCAAAAAAACAACTAAATGATTTACTAAAAAGTTATATACCAATTATATAAAAATGGAAGAACGAGCTATACACATTTCCTCAATAAATAGGGAAAAAAGAGGAACAAGCAGACCCGGTGATTTTACTATCAAATTTAATCCTTCTTTGAAACTCGACCCTGAAAAGAGACATCAACTTGCTCTTGACCGGCTGTCCATGACTTACTCTTGGTACAATATTAGAAGTGATTACGACAACAATAAAATCAAATACACCCATGATGGTTCAACCTGGCAAACAATTACTTTTGTAGATGGAATGTATTCCTACTCAGATATTAATGATTACATTCATCAATATATGGCTCAAAATTCTCATCACTCAACAGACTCCAAAGGAGAAAAGGAGTATTCAATCAATCTAACTTTTATACTATCTACCTATCGAATTTTAATTTCAGTTAGTAATAACTATCAACTTGATTTGAGAGGAACAGAATTTGGAGACCTGATTGGATTTGAAAAGAAACTTATTACAAAAAAAGAGTATGGATCAAAACTACCAAATATCACAAATTCGATTGATGTGTTAAATATCAACACAACAGCAATAACTGATAGCATTGTAAATGGAATAAATACAAATACCATAGCTGTGATACCAACCGATAATCTCACAAGGTCTTATCCATTTACGTTTGAACCTAAAAGACCATTGTATTGTCCTTTATCATCGTATCACATTGATGAAATGAGAGTCTATGTGACAGACACAATTGGAAGACCAGTAAATTTCAACGGTATAGATTGGTTTATGACTTTGATACTTCACTCAATGTAAGCGGGGGCACCTACGGTTCCCCCTGCACCCCCCTCCCTTTATAAGAATGAAGTTAATTTTGGAAAACCCCTTCCCTTTTTTGTATAATTATTAATATAAAATGATGCGACAATCAGAGTTTAAAATGAAACTTGACCCTGAATTGGGTAGATATACAAGACAACATATTTATGGGGAAGGAATAATGGATGTGTTTAAATCGTTTGGTAAAAAAATATTTGGAAAAACAATGAAAAAAGCTGCTAAAAAAGGCGTTGAAAAAGCGGTAACAACAGCCGCAACAAAAACCGGTGAACATGCTGGTAAAAAGGCCGGTGATAAGATAGTTCAAATGTTATCAAAAGATCCACCCACCAAAAAAAATTCTAATAAAAAAGTTACTTTTAATAAAAATGTCGAAACAATTCCAAACAATCAACAAGAGATAAATAAAAGAGTGAATGCCATTCTTAGTGGAGGTTCAACACGTAAGAGAAAATTATATAATTATTAAAATAAAATGAAGTCTTTTAGAAATCCAAAATATTTAGAAAGATATGAAGATGTTGTTTTTGACCTTGAACAGGCTTTAGCCACGCCTGGAAATAATGCTCATCAAATTAAAACAGGTCATAGATTTGTTGCTGATAACACAGGAGAAGATACTCCTTTTGATTGGTATAACGCACGATTTTCAGTGGATTTCGAAGTTGATCAGCTGGCTGCTGGAGCTGATATAGATGCAGATGGAGATCAAATGGGAATAGTAAATGGAAGTAATTCTCTAATAGAAAAGTTATCCATCCTAGCAAATGGTAGAGATGTTTACAGTTGCAACTATGCTAATCATGTGGTAAATATTAAGAATTTGCTTGAGTATAATCCATCTTATGTTGAGAGTGTTGCCACAAATGAATTTTACTATCTTGATACAACAAGAAATGCTGAAAGAAATAGATTTACAAAAAGGCAAGTAACTCACAGACGGAATGCAGTTAATAACGCTGATGAAGCAGGATTGATGATAGATGATGTTGAAGCTAATTATAACAACGGTTTTGCAGTAAGAAAAGCACTATTAGGCGACTCAGCAACTGTACGATGTGAAATTCCTCTTAACAGATATTCTTTCTTTGAATCATTAGAGGACAAACTTCTTCCAAATACAAAAATTGAATTGAATATAGAAATAGAATTGGATAACAATCTTATCTGGCGAACTGGAGGTAATGCTTGTAGAGTTATATTAACAAGATTTCAACTATTTGTTCCAAGATTAACATTTAACTCAGAAGGAAAAATACTATACATGGAAAATTATCTTAAGCCCTACAAATGGGTGTATCTTAATGAAGTAGTAGAGCGATCAAATAACTCTCAACAGCAAACAGGTCATTTTAGAATTACAAATGCTATCTCAAAACCACGTCATGTCTTTGTTTTTGGAATTAACACAGCCAATATTGGTTCACAAACAGAAAATCCATTCCTGTACAACACTTTTAACCTACCAAACAATGCTAATATATCTCGCTGTTATCTCGAGGTTGGAAATGGAAATGAGTACCCTAATATTCACTTTAAACCAGCTACAGATCCAGCGAGAGTGTTTCGAGAAGTAATGTCATACGTATATGCAAATAATGACTTTCAAGGTGGAACACTTCTCAATAGAACAAATTTTGAGTCTTTGTTTCCTTTTGTTTATTTTGATCTTACAAAACAAAAAATGGATATAAAAGATGGAGTTACAAAATTATCGTTTCATTACGAACTATCTGCTAATCCAAACGCTGATTATAATATTTACGCTCTGGTGCTTCATGAGCGAGAGGCAGAAATAGAACAGCAAGGAGGAAAACTATTGCTTAGGGCTTAATCTCAGACATACCTGCGTCCTTCCAACTGTTTCAAAGTGTAAGACATAATCAAATTTGTATACGAACTGTTATAATTACATAGAATTTTACACAAGATTTTATAATTACACAGAATTTTATAATTACACAACATTTTCTACAACTTGTAGAAAATGTTGTGTAATCATTTGATTGGTTGAAAAAATCACACGATAACCTCGTGATTTAAAACAATAACCTTCTAGAAGGTCACTATGACATAATATTTAGATTTTGAAAATAAAATCTAAATATATCACACCTAGAACATTCAAACTAATTAAAAAACTTAACCACCAACTGAGAGAAAACAAATAAAAAAAGATTAAGTGATTAAATTTAATATAAACATCAAATAAATAAAATGACTACTTATATTGAATATGGAGTAACACTTACAGATGGACAAAAGTCAAAACTGGCTTCTGCGATAATAAATCAATCACCACTAACTCTTCGATTAAAACATTCTCATCTTCAAGGTTCCGATGAGTTAATGTTAACAAAAAGACAAATTGATAAAATAAAAAAATCTATTGCAAATGGCACAGGATCAGATATAAAGATAAGTAAAACACAGATTAGACGTTCTGTAAAACATGGAGGAAACTTATTTTCATCACTAGCATCTCTTGGAGCAAAAGTACTACCTTACGCAATAAAAGGAGTTTCAAAAGTTGTTCCTGCATTGGCAACTGGTGCTGCTACTGCACTTGGAGAAATTGGATTAAATAAAATATTTGGAAAAGGAATCACAATTCCCCCACAGTTTTTCCCAATGTTACCACCTCTTGTAAGAGAATTTACCAAATCACAAATAAATCAAATCAACAAAGCTTATAAAACAGGCGGTCAATTAGTTATAAAACCAACTCGTAAACAGATAGAAGGAGGATTTTTGGGAACACTTGCTTCTATTGGTATTCCAATAGCAATTAGTTTGGTATCTAAGATGCTTGGAGGAGGACTTCAGGTTGACAGACGTGCTTCATCTAATACAGCAAATGTTTACGTTCCTCCCACACATGGAGAAGGTTATCCGTATCGCTCTCCACCTTTTATTGGTACATGGGAAAACCCTATAGGAATGGGAGTTAAAAAAAAAAAGACCAAGTCCAAAGGCAAGGGTCTACTATTAGGAAAAAACAGCCCATTCAACTCAATTCCCATTCTAGGAACAATTCTATAATTGACCTTAACCATTCTCAGCTCCATTTTGTAATTAAACCTCTATCCAACTTTGACCTCATGGAATGGGTAAAAAGACTTGGTATTAAACATTTCAGAGGAATATATAGTCGTGATGGATTACCAAAAAAGATTAGAAAAGAATGTGGAATAATTAATCTGGATGATATAACAGGCCCTGGAACACACTGGGTTTGTTATAGAAATCTGGATTCAGTGGTTGAGTACTTCGATCCATTTGGACTGATAATGCCAAACGAAGTATTAGATTATTTTCACACGGGATCTGTAAAACCTATTGTTTACTCGATAGATGAAATACAAAATCGTAGTACTGTTCTATGTGGTTATTGGTGTTTATATTATTTATTCGAACGACAAAAAGGTAAAGGTATTCTAGATGTGATACATAACCCTCATTTTGATAACGATAACAGCGATTTTATAAAGGCTTATTTCTCTTAAATTATTAAGATTAAATAAAATAGTTTATTTAATCTATAAAGGTTTTTTATTTGGATTTAATTCTTTTAAGATCAAATAAAATACTAGAAATTTTATCACAAACATCACAAAGAGAATTACATTGGCAAACAATTTTACTTAACCTCTTAAATTTTTCTTCTTCTTTCTTAATAAAATGACTATATTTATTTATAATTTCTACCCAAAATTTAGCTTCTTGTCTATTTACTTCTAAATAAAATAAATAATTTTCTTTTTTAACATCATCTAAAAGACTTTTAATTTCATTTCGAATTTCAATCTCGTAATCAACTAGTAACTGGTTATCAAAAGATAAATCAAAATCTTTAACAAACCTATCTCCCATTTTTATACTTTACTTTTTTTAGTCTTTAAACTTATTTTAATCACTATCCACAGGTGTATCCTTTAGCTGTTTAACCCTATCAACTTTTGTATTTAGATCTTTAACACTATCAACTATGTCAACAAAATTTGAGTAAATATCAATAAGACGATAAAGTTTCTTCTTTTTATCACTATTTAGTCGCAACCAAGAATATTCCTCATTTCTTATTTTTTCCCACATCTGACATTCACCAGCCATTAGCACTCTAGAAAGATCGCCGTTTTTCTTTCTAAGAGACTCCAACTCATTATATATTTTTGTCCTTACTTCTTTCTCGAAATCCTTGATTGTTTTAACATCCATCTTTTTCTCTATCTCAGAAAAGAATTTGGCTTCCATTTTATTTATGAGAATAGATAGTTTCCTTTTACAACTTTGTTAAGCGTATTTGATTTCTCACTTATTTCCATAAGCAACTCAAATACTTTTATAAATTTAGTATCGTTTTCCAATCTAGAAAAATCAGCGTATTCATAACTCATGTTTAAGTTATCGTATATCTTTTGAAGTTCACTTTTAAGAAAATTAGATCTAGTAGTCATATTTTTTATCTAAACATTATATTAAATGAAAGAATCTTATTGCATTAAAGATAAAAGAGTAACTCCTTGCACAGAGCCAAGTGGTTACCAATCTGATAAACGTGGGCGCACTCAATTCTTCTGTCATTGTGCAGTTTGTGGAATTAAAAAAGTTAGATATGTGAAAACTGGAACAGCTTCTCAAACTGGAAGTGGAAAAAGAAAAACTAAAAAGAAGTCAAAAAACTAATCAGCCCGTCTGAAGGGGCGGGCGTCTTCGATACTGTTGTTGGTACAGCAGTTGATGGATTTGTTCATTACGGTTTACCTTGGATGGGAAAGAAAGCATTTGAAATGGGAAGATATGGAGCAAGCGAGTTAATGAGAAATAAAAATCTTCAGAAGAAAGCTGTAAATTATGGGATTAATAAACTCACCCCATTTATTCAAGATTCTGTTGGAACAGCAATGGATGAACTATCAACAAAAGTTAGACCAAATAAAAAGTATAAAACTGATAGACCAGAATTAGATGGGAAAGGAATAGATATTCACAAATGGATTGGAAAACTTCCAAAACCAAAAGCAGGATGGACTCCAGGTTCGTACAAATATATGGGTCCCTACAATCCTCTAGACAAACAATTAAGTTATAATCCTGAAACCGGAAAAGTGACAGAGTGGAAAGTTAAACCGTATAACAAAGTCGATGAGATTGCAGCTTATCACGATATTTGTTACGACATGGGAAGAAACAAAGGTGATTGCGATAGAGAGATGGTACAATCATTGGATGAGATACCATATGGTGAAATGCCAAAGTGGGGCTCAACTGCTAGATTCTTGATTAATACAAAACAAAAACTTGGTCTTGGCATTCAAAAAAACGCGAGTCGGCGTTGAGTAGTGATTGGTCTCAACAATTAGCCGACGAACTTCACAAACCAATCACAAGAAACTTTCAAAAGAGATCAGTAGTCTCAAACGGAATTGATGATATCTGGGCTGCTGATTTAGTTGAAATGCAAAAGTTTAGTAAGTGGAATAAAGGAATTAAATATCTGTTGATGGTTATTGATGTGTTTAGCAAGTATGGATGGATTAGGGGATTGAAAGATAAAAAAACCGAAACTGTTAGTAAAGCATTCGATGACATATTCAAAAGTAAACGTAAACCTCAAATGTTATGGACTGATAAAGGTTCCGAATTTATAAGCAAACATTTTAAAGATTTTCTGAAAAGAAAGGGTATTAAGTTGTATCACACTGAAAACGAGGAGAAATCTAGTGTTGTTGAGAGATGGAATAAAACAATGAAAAACAGAATGTGGAAGATGTTTACTGTGAATAACAACACTATTTACTGGGATAAGATAGATAAACTAGTTGATGATTACAATAACGCTAGACATTCTAGTATAAAAATGACTCCTGTTGAAGCAAGTAAAAAGAAAAATGAAAGTAAAGTTTGGTCTAATTTGTATGGTGAATCTATTTACTTGAAACCTGGTAAATCAAAGTTTGCAATTGGTGATCGTGTTAGAATTTCTAAGTATAAGAGGAAGGTATTTGATAAAGGCTACACACCAAACTGGACAGAAGAAATATTCGTAATTGATAAAGTTTTACCTACAAAACCTGTTACGTATAGCATTGTTGATCTGATGGGAGAAGAAATTAAGGGTTCTTTCTACAACCAAGAATTACAAAAAACAAAACAACAAACATTTAGAATAGAAAAGATTATCAGACGAGATAATAAGAAAAAAATGGCATTAGTAAAATGGAGTGGATATCCTGATAAATTTAACTCATGGGTTAGTTCTAAGGATTTGGTTGATTTTTAATACGAAATTCGTATTAAAAATAGTTATTTACTCGTTTTCTTCATCAGAAATAACTAAGTCTTCGACTACTTGATCAATTATCTCTTCAATATCGCTTTGCTCTTCATCTTCCTCTTCAATTGTTAGTAAAGACTCTCTAGGTTTGAGTGGTTTGACATAACACTCATGTACTTTTATTTGTAAAGATGTCACAGTTTTACTTATGAAGATTCCTTCAATTATCAATGCCAATTTAACATTACAGTACTGATCAATATATTTAAAAGGATTTAAATCTTTACCTCCCTTTCCCTTAAACAAAGATAAAATTTTCTTTGATTTTTCTGAGTAAATAAGTTTCGCATAAAAAACTGGTGCGGATGATGGATCATTTCTTGTTTTCTTCTTTCCTTTTTTATCAGTGTATTCTTCCTGTTTGTAATATAATGGACAAGTTAGAGATGAAGCTAAATCTGGACCGTATTCATTCTCTAAATATTGTTGAGAAAGAGATGTTACGTTATTAATAACTTCCAAAAATGCTTTTTCTTTGTTATTTGGTTCGCTATCTTTAGCCCAAAGACATACTGGGATACTATAACCTACTAACTTTTTTGTTTCTTGATTTTTCTTTTCATTAACACCAAAGCTAAAAAGAAATGGGGTTTCGATTACAAGCGGTCCTTTCTTTCCATTCGAATATTTGATTTCAATTGGAATACGCTTGTATTTAATTTTGCTATCTTTTACTTTAAATTCTTTGGATTCTTTAAAGATAATATTGTCTTGGGTGAGATTTTCGTAACTTGACAATTGCATTTTAAATAAATTTATTTAATCTTTAAACTTTTTTTTCTAAAAATTCAAATGTGTATCTATCCCCATCTTTTTTGGAAATCACTGTTTTGTAATACTTTACTTTTCTACAAATATTAGAAATAATTGAAAAGGAAATATCTAATTCGAGTGAAGCAGAAGTAATACTTTCATAATTTTTTTGTTTGTTATTTTTGATTTTAAATGATTTTATTGGTTTATTATTTCCTTTTCTGATGTTTTCTGAGACAGTTAGTAATTGTAAATTTTCAATTTTATTATTTGTTTTAACAGAATCACAATGGTCAACTACATATCCTTCTGGAATATCACCTTTAATACATTCCCATTCAAACCTATGTATATAGTAATTCTTTGGTTTGGATAGATTTTTATCACTGATACTAAACTGATAGTATCCCTGATCAGTCAAATTTTTTTTTAATATTCTTCCAGTTTTTACATTTAAAATTTCACCGTCTTTTGAAGAGGAGTATTTAGAAAAAGTAGGATGAATATAAAACTTCTTTCCATCTTTTAAAATTTTTTTGCGATTCATTTTTTAAAAAACCTTTTTATTCTTAAACCAACTTTTCATTTTTCTTTACTAATAAATTTACTTTTTCTTTTAGTTCTTTTACTGCTTGTTCTAAAGAAAATAAACTACCAGATACTTTTCTTAATTCTTTTTCTAAACTATTAAATTTATCGCCGTCATCAAGATAATATCTAGTTGCAGCACAAATTTCGTTGTTACACTTATTTGAATTCACTTTTATTATAATTATTAAATTATTTTTTAAATCATTTTTTAGGCCAAAGTAAATGAACGGACCAAAAGTCAGCAGATTCTGGGTTATTATAAGTTAATTCTCCTTGTTTATTCTTAATCTTTGTAGCTCTAGAAAGATATTTATCTCTTCTATCTTTGTCTTTGTGAGTAAGATAATCAGCATATTTTGTTGATCCAAAATGAACTTTTTTTCCACTTGAAAGTGTAACCATGTATTTGTTATTTTTTCGTTTTGAATAATCAAGCGATTCAGCACCAAGTTTTTTAGCATTTTGTGTTAACTTTTTAAACTCTTTTCCACTAACAAGATATTTTTCATCTGGAACATAATCTGGATCCACATCATGTCTATAACCATCATCAACTATAAATTCCAAATCCTCTTTTGTAGGAGTAGTTTCTCTAGATCTTGGTTCCATTTTATTATTTTGATTAGATTATTCTTGTTGGGAAAATCTCCTAATATTAATCTTACCATTTAAATTTTTTCGCATAATACAATTTCCCTTACTTGTTCATAAAACTTTTTATGGTCTTTCTCAAGTTCGATGTTATCAAACTCTTTTGAATATAATACATCATAAAAATCATCGCTGTTATAAATTTCAGGATTTACCAATTTAATCTTTTTAAGAATATTTTTAGTTTTTTTTATTTCTTCGTCTTGTGATTTATCGCCATTTGTAACATAAGGTTCTCCTCTATCAATTTCATCTAAATACTTAATCTCATAACGCTCTGTGTCTTCCATAGGAATGGTGACATTAAGATAACGCTTTTTATTGGTTTTTCCATCTGGATTAAACACCGGTTCGTTTTCATCAATTCCATGAAATGTTGGTTCTTCAGGTTTACGACAAACAAATTGGTCCTCTTTATTAACACAAATAGCATTACGACCATTAACTTTTTTGATATATTTATTTTCATCATAAAATAAGTAACCAAATCGTTTTTTCATATAACGTAATTCTAAAAAACTATCATCTATAAATTTACTGATATTTTCCCATTTAGAAAAACAATTACCTTTTTCTATCATTTTCATCAACCAATCAAACTCATCTTTACAATAGCAATACATTTTTTATCTTATGTTTAGATAAAAAAAATCTCATAACAAAAAAAATGTTATGAGATTAAAACATATTTAATCGCTATCACTATCAAAAATTAAATTTATGTCTTTTTCTTTTATTTTATCCTTAAATTTTTCAAAACTTTCAAAAAATAATTTGAAACCTGTTTCATCATTCTCATACTTTTCTTCTTCAAACTTAAAACTAACTGGATTAAAAAATAAATCCATATTTTCTTCTAATTTTCTTTCTAAATACACTATAAAATTAACATCTTCATTTTCAAAACAATAATTACTAATATCCTTAAAATGACCAAGTTCTTGAAAAATTAAAAATTTATTAAAATAAATAATAAGCTTTTTAGCTTGTGGGGAATTAAAAACATTTTCTTCGTCTATTTTATTTAAAAATTTTTCACATTTTTTATTGATATCTATTATAAAAATATACTCCTTCTTAATGTTCTTTGCGTAATTTGGAATAACCTTGCTAATCATTGTGTTTTTATTATTATATTAATCTCTTTAAGCCATTTTATTTTTCTGATTCAATTTTAGATAACAGCTTTTACCAGAAAATAGTTGATAACAGTGCTTAATCGAGTAATGACATAAATGATCAGTAAAAAAATGCAATGATAGAAAATAACCAGAAAAAAGTACAAGACGTAAGACACAAATTAATTGAACAATGATAGAAGATAAACTCAGAAATTAATTTAAAAAAGTACAAAAATTTGTTAGTCTAAATTCCGTCATTGAAATTTTGGGTGGGATGACGGAAATAATTGAATAATGATAGGGGAAAAGTACCAAGTGAGTGAGTACCATGGCATCATTATATAACTACTAACTAAACCTTTTGTTTTTTGATGTTGCCGTCGTCGTCGTAATTTCGTAAGGTCCCTACTAACTGAAGGAGGGGACACGGGCACCCTTCCCCAAGCACTCCCAATTACTTCCATCAACTTGTTTCTACAACCGTCACACCGTTAGATCAGTTTTTTTAGTTGAGAGAATTTTATAAAAGATCCGCGTCATTTAATTATTTCTCACAACCTTTTTCTCTTAATGCTCTACTGATGTTGTTATTGACGTTGCTTACTCTTGAGGACTTGATCTCCACTAGGCATACTCAACCCTTTCACTGCCAAATGTGGCCAAGGGCAAAATTCAAAAAAAAATTCCAATTTCATTTCGTAAAATTTTGAAAAACAAATAGTACCATGTAAAATCGCAGGCAGAGAGGTTTTATTTGAATGGTCACTCCATAGGATTAAGTTTGTTCCCAGACTCAAAAGTTGGAGCCACCTTACAAAACTCCTTTTTTCACTCTGGCAGTGAAAGGGTTAAATGAGTAAGAATTAGTGTTTGCTTTTTAATCCTATAAGTGCCAAGAGTGACAAACATCAGTTTTCTCCCAACATTACCAATATTGAATCAATAGAAAAGATTACGAGAATTGATATAAAGATCACCAAAAGGGAAATGCTCTCGTTTTTCAAATTCAGTCTCTCAACTAATTCAGTAAGGAAATGCATAGAGATCAGTTGGGAGAATTTGTATGTGGATACTGAGGCTTAAAGGGTAATAAACTCACCACATTTCCCTGAGGCACTACTCACGACAACAATTTGGCCAGATTTGTTGTGCACCATGTGAGGAAGAACAGCTTTTGTTAACGAGATTGCACCCAGTACGTTAACCTTCATCACGGCCTGATCGACATCCAAACTACTGGCCACAGATGATCCCATTTGAGCAAGGCCTGCGTTGTTTACTAGAAAATCAATCTGAGGGTGATGACAACATTTGATTAATAAAGGTAGTTGAACTGAGTGGGGTGCAATTTGGCCTAAAATCTTACACGTGATTTTAAAACTGAACAAGTGCACAGCACGAGTTTGATTTGAAATTAGAAGTATGATTTCAGAGCAAAATTGTACGACACGAAGTTCAACTACCACTTTATGACAGCCACTTTGAAGTCGAAAAATTCAGTCAGTACCGTAAATAGCTTTAGTGGGATATCGACGGGAAGGGCCCTGGGTTTTGCTCCCCCCCCCCCCCCCCCCCAAAATAAACCCTGTTGGGGGGGCCCACCCACAACACATACCCTCCCCCCACACAACAAATTTTTTTTTGTAAAAACCATCCTATTTTCAAATAATAAATCACCCCCATTTCAACAACACAATTTCTTTTTTTTTAAAAAATAAAACAGGGACAGAAGAAAGTTGTATTTAAAAAAAAAATAGTATTTTACAAGCAAAATTTAAGACACAGAGTTCAACTACCCCCTTTTAACAACCACCTTTAAGTCGAAAAAATCACACCACGCCCTGAAAAGGCTTTTGGGGGAATCCACGGGGAAGGGCCCGGGGTTTTTTCCCCCCCCCCCCCCCTCTAAATACTAGCCTGTAGACGGGCTACCTAAGTACATGTACACTGATCACACTAGAGAATTTGTTTTGGTTACAACTAACTGCCTTTTAACAATGAATTACCCACCATGTAATCACAGGCACTTTTACATTTTGAAAAAAATCTACACACAGAAGTTGTTACGAGTAAAAACAAATGTCTCAAAGCAGTGTCCTTTAGGATTTGCCAAGGGTCTCAAATCACCCGGAAGTAAGAGTTGAGGAAAGTGGCAACAATTATAATTCACTGACAAGGATGAACAATCTAAAATAAATCTGATTCCTGGAGACAAGTATAAAACATGAATCTCAGGTACCTTGCCAAAATGTTTGATGACTGTTTCCGGACAGCCTTCATGGGTTGGAAAGTCAGTAACATCGAGTGGCAGAACAAGAAAATCTTCTTCAAAAGTTAATGGAAATATTTTACTTGCTACATCTACAAGAAAATGTAATAATGATTTAATAATAATAGCAACCATAAAAATCATCAACACCACCAAGAGCATGGTCAAACCCATAAACCCATCCTCAACAAAGAGAAGAAGGATTTTAAAAATGAGCCTATTGACTGACAGTTGTAAGCATTGCAACCTGCAAAACCACAATCATGATAATAATTATATGATAGGTGCCGTTAAGATAATTTCTGATAAGGGACTGGCGGCCTAGAGAAATAAAATGATGGCAAATGGCACCAAGATAAGCTGAAACTGTGACACTGGTTAAAATTAAGAACAGTGTAAAAACATTAGTACAAAAACTGGCAGGTCAGGCATGGCCTCCTCCACATTAAATGAAATGAAAGGTTTTGGCATTCACTATTTGTCACATAATAGTCGACTACCAGCAATGACTCATTTTTCTTAGTCTGTCGGAGGGAGACACAAAAAATGACCATGGGTGTGCCTAAAGGCATGAGATGGGAGAAGTGCATTTATTCTTCTGGGCTGCTCCCACATTTCTCCCATCATGCAGCTCAACACTCGCCCTCACTTGCACTCTCCTTACAAAATCTGGGGAAATTAAGAGACTGATAGCAGTTTAGTTACATCAGGGACCGGGGACCCCGGTTGCATAAAACCTACACTTAAGTTTCCACTTAAGTAGGTCACTTACGAATCCGTTATGGGTACACTTACGGGTGTTGCAAGGAAAGCACTTAGCACTCTCATAAGTTTCTGTTTTACGTGGTAACTTACGGGCTCACTTAAAGGCACACGTAACTTTGACATAGTGCTTCATTAATGACTCACTCTTTTTTTTTTTTTAAGCTAAGCATCGGTGAGTGTAAAGAAAGTTTTACTTCGTTTCGAACACTTTTAAGCCTCTCACAAAAATGAAATTTGCATGCAGACGTTATTTTTCTTCAGCATCTACTGAAAATGATAGTTCTTCTTCTTTTTTCACAACGTCGGCTTTAAAGCCAAGCCCTGAGGTATTGACATTTACTTTAATGAAACCAATGGGAAAAAAGTTATTATAGCCACCCATTATTTACCACATACACTGCTAAAAGTCTAAGTTTCACTTTCTATGACCAAATGCTGCCAACACAAGTAGTTGTAGACAAAGGTTTTTTTTGTTTGTTTGTTTGTTTTTTCATTTATCACCTAAAAGAAACCATGTGGTGTGGTCATTGATCCTTACTGTGGATGCAAAGGAGATGTGTATAGCTGATCACAGCCACAACCTCTCAATGCTCCCCACCACTCATACATTTTGCTAGAGACATCTGCAGTTTGGTTCAAAACAATTTTGTTCTCATGATGTAAATTTGTGTTTACTTAATTGATCTAGTAGTCATGGGGTTCCAGACATAAGTTTGTTTGAATGTCTGTTTCTCCTTATTGATTATTGTTCGTATGAGCTTCTGCATTCTGTGCAGCTGCACAGTTGGTGCCAGCAGAAATAAAACTACTCCTTGGGAAGTGAATATTTTTCAAAGGAATGAGTGTTCCTTGGAAGATTCAGCTACCTTATATATTTGATCTTTGTGACCTTTTGTATGTCAACCAATCATAGCTCCTGGCCAGATTCTGTACAGATTTAATACATCACCAGTATGAAATTTTTGGGACCAAAACGCACGGCGATTGGGGTGGGGGCGGGGGGATGAGAGAGGGCTGTATTCGTAGGATAGACTGATCCAAAAGGGCTAAGACAGAGGGACGAAGGGGTATATATGATGTCTACATGTATATTGATACTAACTCGGAACGACTGAGTGTTTCATTTCATACGAACCTAAACACTGATTTTTTACCCTTTCCAATTCATCTCTTCTTCTGGCTGATAGCACCAATTTACATCCACACTGAGCTAGCCTGTAAGCTAAATGCTCTCCAATCCCACTAGATGCTCCGGTTATCCAAACAACCTTTCCTCGGAGTCGAGGTTCCGGTTTCTTCGCAAACGTCGCGTAGAAATGAAGCACTGTATCGCAATCAGAAAAGTAAATTCTTGCGATGAAGATCAACAGGAACAACGGGAGAGAGTAAATAATTTCGAGGTAGAGAAGAAGAAACAGCAAAAAGGCTAACAGTAAGATCCCCAACATCGTCAGAATGATTAAGTAACTTTGCGCCAGGCGTCCAATATTTTTATTCTATCCCCAGATCCCTACTGATCAGAGATCTCGTCCCAGGCAACCCAACCCAATGGATGGGGCAACTGACAACTAACAAAAAATGGCCAAAATTTAGCTGACAACTAACATTTGCCTTGGATTTAACTCACAGCTGACGAAGCTGCTGATTGTCCTTTAATTTGTTTTCTAAAAAAACCGTTTTCCACTCTTTTCGGCAGACAATGTGATCAAATGTGCGTTTATAGGGAGTTTAAGATTCACGTTTACGCCAAACGGCAAAAGTCAGATTCAAGTTGAGAATTTCTCAGAATAGAAAATAAGCAAATGAAAACTGTCCAGAACAATTCTTATGTATAAAACTGGCGTCAAACTACTTATTTTTTTGTTGAAGTGATAAACAGTTAACGACAATTAAGGAAAACTTGGTCACGTGGTACATATTTCCGTTTGCCGTTAGGCGGAAACGTGAATCTTAATCTCTCTTATATGCGTAATCTTAGCGGCAGGACGCTCAAATGTCATTTAGTTCCAGTTAACAATTTGATACGTGTCATGTACCATCTGTTGCAGTAAAATTGACCATGATCTCAAATTTTCTATCTCCGAGAACGCACCAGCATGTATACACTTCCACGATGGTTGCTAATAATGCGGGTGTTATAGAAGCAATTGTCCGCTTTTAAGGAGGCGATCCAGATACGGTCTTTCTTGGTGACTTTCGTAGGATCTACGTCCCAGTAATCTGAAGGTATAAATTTTGATCAGCTTAATGGTTGGAAATGTTGGAACTCTTTCCAGCAAAACCCTTTGTACCGGAGCAGAGTAACACAACACATGAGAAATGGAGGGCCAGTTGAAATGATTTCAATAGAAAAACTGATAAAAAGTATGGTATTACTGCATCAGTTTTCGAACATAATGTTAAATTAACATTATACATGCCTTTTTTAAGGTAAATGTCGGATGAAAAATTAACAAAAAAGGTTCATAGTTAATTTTTAATAATCATTTAACAGCATCAGCAGCACGACAACTTACATAACTGTCCTAAAATTTAACTGACAACTATCAAATTGATAAAGAAATTAACTGCCAAAAACGTGGACGAAGATCCTGCTGATTTTCAAAGTTGAATCTCCAGAAAAAAAGATCTAATCAGCTAAAATATTAAGAACAAAAAAATTTAAACAAGTTTTTATTGCGACATTCTCCACTAATAGAATATTGTAACCCCTATCATAAATTCAGTGGCACCTGTAAACCTGAGGAATGCTTGAATGGCCAGCCGAAATATTGTTATAAAAAAAGAAATACACGCTGTTATGATCAGCTTTGCAGTAGTCTTCGGACTTCTCGTTTTTTGTTTTTAACTGAAAAATTTCCAAAATTTTAACTGGCAAACTAACATTTGTACACGCCCATCCAGTCCCCCGTTTAGGCTCGGGGGTAGTATTATTTAATGGAGAAAGGTTTTCATAAAAAACATACATAACAATTTTTTTTTCATTTCCCATGGGCATTACATACGTCCCAAGAGAAGTTGAAAACAACGGCTTATGCAAAACTTTGAGGGGCAAATAAGGTGCATTGTGCCGAGGGAGATGTGCAAGTGGCGTATACATGTCTTCATTAATTCAGCTTCATGCATGTCCAGCTCCAGTTGGCAGGTAGGTAATAATGTAAAGTAGTCGAAGACAGTCTTGGATTCTGAATTCTTCGCTGTGGATTGCGGATCTTACGCTACGGATTCCGGATCCCTTGTCATAAGTGGTCTTGGTTTCCGGATTTCAATCGTTAGTGGGATTTCGGATTCATAGAACTGAATCAGTTCTAGATTCTAGAGCCTAGTGTCCCGGATTCGCAAAGGGAAAAATTTCCCAGATTCCGGAATCCAAATTACCTTGACATGGGGCGATAGAGCGCTGCACCGGTATCAAGGGTTCGAATCCCGTACTAGCCTGAAATTTTTTCAGGCGTTCTTTTCCCAGCTGCAAAGGTGCATTTTCAACTGCCGTCTTCATTCTCTATCCCACCGTCCTCTAATATTATCATTACCATTATAATTTTATTTCTTCGGTTTATACATCTACTTGTTTTTGTGAAATTACCATATTAGCACCATCTCATTCACACTGTCCAGCCATCTGCATATGAGTAGAGCAAATTGACAAATCATATGTAACGGAAACATTAATTGCATTTTATTAGAGACAAATGAGGTTTACCCTATCATAATCACGAAAGCTTTTACAGTTTTAGTCATTTCTGTTCCTTTCAAAAATATGTCTTCCTAATATTCTATATGATCTTTTCAGCCCTTTTCTTTTCATCGGTCTTCTCTTGGACAGTTCAGTTGTCTTGCGGCCTCACAGATATCCTTTTTGTAACGAGCAAACTGCAAGCAGAAACAAACAAGGGAAATAGTATTATGGCATAACATGCACTCAACTTCAATTCTCCTATTTTTAGAGTTAATCTGGAACCTAGATCTCTCGCGGCCAAGAGAGACAGAGTGAGATCTGGGTAGGAGATTAGAGTTATTAGTTTCGTCAACTGAGTTGGCAGCCTGAGAAAATTGCCGACATTTTGCTACGCCACCACTTCTGATAAGCTGAAAATTTGCTTCAACAAATCAGGGACGACACTACCCATACGTCATCAGTGTGGAATTTCTGCGCTCGTTCCAATTCCTCAGATGTCATTTCGCAGGGAAACCAGTGGTGGGGTAGCGAAGTGTCGCCTGTTTTCTCGGGCCGACTGAGGTGGCTCCCTCACTGAGCATCAGCTGAGCCTGCGCACATCTTGCGCCATTCATTCGAAGCAAACTTGATTTGCGCATGGCCAGCAAGAGATAAATCTTGTTTTATAATCAGAACCACCTAAAATGATTATTATTGCTACCCTCTGAAATAGAAAAGGCTGGTCCATTTTACGCTATCACATTAATATAGTGGCCAAAAAATTCAATTCAAAACCCATAAAACATCGCCATCTAAAGTCTTTTGTCAAATTTGAAAAAAAAAAATTTAAAAAAAAAAACCCTCGATCTTTTTGACAAAATTCGAATGCAAAAGGCTGGTAATAAATTTTAAGAGAGCATTATTTGTCGTTATTTCATTTAAATTTCCTCTCATTTAGCTTTGGTTTGATCATTAAATGATATTAAATTAAATAACATTTGAATATTTGAAGGTCATGAATAAAGTATTTAGACACAAATTGTCCAAAATTTCCACGGCGATTGCTCATTTCTTAATAAAGAAGTTCTGTTACGGCCTTTGACTAATGCCGAAAGGGAACGAGATGTCAACAGGGCAGCTTGAGAAGCAGCAAATATTCGCAATCAACAAGTTCAACTATATTTTAAAACAAAAACTTTTAAAGAATTTTTATTAAAAGAAAAAAGACGACTGAATAAACAACAAAAACGAAGGTAACAAAAAACAAAAACAATGACATTAACTTCTAGTTAAATATAGAAATAACAAAATTGTTAACTATATATAAAACAAATGGCATGGGCGTTGTCAGTATAATTCTTGCGAACTTCCTAAAAAACATCTAATGTAGCTGATGTTATATATTTTTCATTAACACACACGTAGTCTGAAAATGTTGATCGATTTACTTTTTTTTATTATTTCTTATTTAACAGTGAATAATGTGCTTAACTTTCCGTGATTGCCAAGTCTTCACAAAGGCGACATCGACAGAAACGTTAGGCTTTATAAGTTTTATAGGTAGGGATTAAACATTTTTGGCAGTTCTAATGATTCTTCAGATCTCCCCAAACCTTTCATAATATAAATTAAAAGAAAACAAAGACTTGTGCCCGGACAGTACATTTCGCAAGAAAACATCAACCCGTCCTCTTTATGGGGAGTTTATAAAAATACTGATAGAAGTAATTTCTAATATCGCTCACGAGACAATCCAGTAAACTTAAGTGTGCCACGAAAAATGAAAGAAAAGAAAAGAAATTTGTAAAAAAGAAAGTACATTTTTTTTATCATATCATTCACTCTAATCCGTGAACGCTTATTTTTTGGAGCCGTTGCAAACCGCCACTTTTCCGTTGAAATTAATTACTTTAAGGTTGCGAATCACAACTTCGGACTGAGTCCTACATCTAAAAAATATGAGACCTTTTCTATATTTCCTTTTTGGTTTAAAAAAAAGAGTGAGAAAATCAGTTTTTAAAAAGAAAAAAAATTCTTGGGAAGATCTATTCTACCCACCTGTTTCCAGTTTAAAGAAACATGATATAATTATTACTTGTTTGGTTTGAACATTACTAAATATAGCGAATCTGATCTCAACCAAATGACTGCTTAAATACAACAGCAGACACTGCTTTGCAATGATTTATATGAGAAGAACAATACGGTTTTTTAGACTAATACATCCTATTCGGTTGAATTTTACAACAAAACATTTACAAGAAAATCTCGAGGAAGAGATGTTCAGTTTTAAGGTTCAAATCGAATCAAAAAGGTCTGGTTCAACCGGTCTCAGAAGAATAGTTAAAAGTTACTAGTAACTTTTATAAGAAAAGAGTGTTCTAATGGAAATTAGGGCTCGAGGAAGAGGAAAAGTGTATTACCTAAACGGTTCAATAAAAATAGCTAAAACATTTTATTACCTCTGATTTCCTAGACAACACTCTGCCAGGGCGCCTCCTCTGTGACTGCACGGCAAATGCTTCTGTAGGTTGTAAGCTAGTCAAAATCAAGACTGCAGCAACGAGACAAAGAAAAACCAAAAAAGAGGAGAATTTCTTCATAGCGACGATGCAACGAGGTTAAGACGGTTCCAATTTGGAGAGTTTCGAGGTCAATACAAGATCTTACGTTGTCTGCTTGAACAGTTTTGAGAGTCGCGCTTTATACACTTCTTGTTCGCGTCAGCGTTCAAATGTATTTTAATAAGGTTAAGTACGTAACTGTCAAAGATTTTAATTTATACCACGAAGCTCATTGGACTCACTTTTGATTTAAATGAAAGGTTTGAGTGGTAATGAGTTTTAAATAAGTGACAATAAAATGAAAAAGAAAAAAAAAAGATCGATAATGTTAAGACAGAGGAAAATCGCGAAACTTTTGACAGTTTTATACCGGCTAAAGATGACAGGTGCATGTACGTTATGTGGTGTTGTTGCCCTATAATATTAATAAAAAAGAAGCTGAATAACCTTTATTTTACAAATAAATTGTTTTGTAATAGAAGACGCGTTCAGTGGTTTTTGCTAAGTGACCTACACGGAAGTGATCTATCTTTTCTACTTTTGATAGTCTTTAAACAATCGGAGAACCGGTTTATCAGGGATTGATCGCGTTACAATTTGTTATAGCAGAAGAATTGAAGCAGTTTTTCATGCATTGCAGCTTTTCTTTCTTTCTTTTAATTTTTTTCTTCAATCTTTGAAAAAGAGGTAAGGTAACACTTAAAGACGCCATGATTCTTTTGATTACCGCAAGTGACCCAAGCGGATCTATTCTCACAATCTTTAAAAATTTTAGTTCTTTTAATAGCCAAGAGCTTTATCGCGTCGGTTTAACTTTAGAATAGCGTCAGCAGGCGTTTGTTTTTGTTACAGCATTGCAATTATATATTTGCGTTGCTGACCGGAACAGAAGCCAAGTGCTTTATGTCCAATGAAATAATGCCCGCCATCTGTGTTGTGAGATAAATTCCTTTTTCCGTCAAGATTGAAACGCAAGTGAAAAAATAGCCAAGCTTTTAAACGCTCTAAAGTATAAATTTATTAATTGTTTCGCTCGCTAACCCTTAATCTTTTAGAAGATCAGTAAACATTCTGCCACGTCCTTTATTGAAAGACTTCCCTAACAATCTCAAGCGAGTTCAAACCTTTTCATATGTCAAAGTCAAAAGCATTGTCGACTAAGTAAACCTAAGTTCAAAAAAGTTTTATATCTTAATAAAAAATAAACTTTGAATCATAGAAAATCGTCGATAACAATTTTTGAACAGTTTATTTATCTGTTTGGATATTATAGGAAAAGTGGCCCACAAAACGGAGATGACGCCTTGAAAGGACCGTAGGCCGGATAAATACTACGCACAGGATGCAAAAACATCAACGAGCAGATACGACATCCGTTTTGCAGAGAATAGCTTCACAATTTTTTTCTCTTTCTGTGTTCGTCCTTCGACCCAGAGCTGACGTTTGTTTTTTCTTGAGACGCGCCATGAAGTATAACTAGAGTTGGCTTGAGATGTCAGTTGAGACGATCATGTCAGGCCTTTCTTCCTTTCTCTTTTATTTGAAATCAAAAGGAAAAAAGCAAAGGCTGCGACTACAAATAAGCGCAAATGCTGAGCACTGGCACGGGCCTAAAATTATGGTAAGTTTGTATTCCTTTCAGGCACCATCTTTCGACTGTTAACCGGACACCTTCAGTCCCATACACTCCAGCCCAAATGGGGCGAACCGACTACGAAAAGTTACTGACGTTTACTCCCCTAGGTAAATACATTTGGTGTACCTTGATTAGTTAGTTTGTTTTTATCTTTAGGTTGAACCTGTTTCGTGATAGGTAGAACCAAGAGACTATAAAGGGGACAGAGAGGGTATCCCCCATATACACCCTATTCCACAGGTAATTCGTCTCGAGTTATTTTTTACACCACAGATCTCAAGGGGGATTAGACAACAGCCAATCACATAGCGCGAATGTCTTCCGCGTGGATGACCCACGCTGAAAGCCACGCGTCCTTCACGAAATGACGCAGAACAAAATGGGGGAAGACGCCGAGAGCGATTTTGCTATTCCTTTTGTCGACGAAAACGACTACAGGGAGATTTCTGCGAAAGCTGTGTCAGCGAAACCGAAATTAAAAAAGAATCGCCCTTCCTCTCTTGTATAGAGCTAACAGTAAAGCAGGGAAATCCTTAACAGACCTTAACACACTGAATATTCTCTCAGGATCATTTATAATTTACAGTTTGAAGAGAGCAATTTCTGGTTTGATGTTTATTTTTTTTTCAGTCTTTATAGCGACTATTCCTACCCACTTACTTTGTCAATTGTAGGCAAACCCTCCTAAAGCTGAATTTCAAGGGACCATATTCAAGCACAGAAAGAGAAATAAAATTTCGTCGTTGCTTATTTACGTCCTCCATAAAACTCGAAATTAGGCATTTTCACGTCGTAGTCGTGCAAAAATGGGAAAGAAATGAACAAAAAAGTGTGCTGCACGTGCGAAGTTGTTGTTTTGCTAATTAAACCTGTTGTTTTTTTGACGTTCTAGTTGTCGTCCGCGTCGTTGGATCTTAAACTCCCTAAATTGTACAAACGACCGGTTTCGATAGACCGGCGAAATTTCTCATTTTATCAAAACACTGAAGTTACGACAACTTCGAGTTAAACTGATTTCACGGGTTGTCAAAGAGTCCAGCGATTCCTTTTTCCCAGGTGAGCGCCGACTCATTTCGCTTCAATATTCAGGAATGCTCTCGATCTTTTTAGGCTTTCATTGCCTCTCGCCCGACATGTTTTGCACGGTGTTTGGTCATGCGAAACCTCCACGAAACATCCACGCCTCGCGCGAGGTAACTTTATCCCGATTCTAAAAATAACTCGAGACGAATTACCTATGGAATAGGGTGTATATGGGGGGTGCCCTCTCTGTCCCCTTTATAGTCTCTTGGTAGAACTTAGTGGACTTTAGGTCAACACTGCAAATAAACAAGGTACACAAATTTAGTATTTTATCAATCGAGTTATACAAAGGTAGATTGGCCATCCCATGGGGATTGAAAAGACCTCTCAGTAAGCCCTACGATTCGCCTTATATTGTACCAAATCAGCAGATTTTGGTTTGGCTTAGTTTTTACTACCGGAAGTTCTAGCTGTGCTTTAGGTGGGAAAATGGTACTGACAGTTAGTTTCCGAAGGAGAGTGATTTAATTTGTAATTTGCCTGACAAATGCTTTCAAACTTTAAGAGAGCAGTAGAGACAAATAGCTGGAGTAGTAAATGAAAGGTAGAATAGAGAAAAAAACTCATTAAATAAAGGTTTCAAAGACAACACTGATGAAAAAATGAACAAAAAAATAAGAGAAATAAGCAGCCTGACTAGAAGTAATCTTTGGGATAATGAACTAAATCTGCTCACCCTGGGTTTACCACTAGGGCTCCGTCGCGGCTTACACATGTGCAGTAAATTCTTCGAAGGTCACGGTGCTAATTGGAAAGTCTGATCTAGGTAACTTTCCCAATTTATTCGGTGACAATTTCTAAGTTCAGCTGATTTCCAGGAATCAGGCATTATTATTTTTTAAAAAAGAAAAAGATTTGACTTGCGTGGTAAACGGTAGTCGTTTATTTTAGACCAATATGTTGCAGGAAACGGATTGTTAAAGAAAGCTCAGCCCTACGACCTTTCGCAGCTTTGAGACAACCCTCATCAATAACAATCTTTCCAGCATCAAGCATCCTCTATTAAAAACGCCTTTTCAGTTATTTATCATATTCAGACCATAATTGTCATGCTGCCTGGGTGTCCTGTGGTTGCCAACTTTTGAGGAATTTTCAATGATCGCATACACATCGTCTTCCTTCCTTTCTAAAGCTACCGCTGAACACCTTTGGCGTATGTTCCTTGGAAAAAAGGGTAAAAGGGGATAAAATATCCATCAATATTTTCATGTTTTGGGTACTAAAATGGTGCAAAGAGAGAAAAATATCTGAATTTGTAGTTAAACCGTAATTAAGCTGCAAAAATGCAAATCTGTCGCTTGGTGAAGGTCGCCGTTTTGCCGGTGCGCCCACTGTATTCCGCGCGCTCTCGTAGTTTGTCCTCGCTAAGTTTTGTATCAAGACTGTTTGGAGTATCCGTGAGTGAACCGAAGCCAAAGAGAATCGCGAATCACCAGACTGTACACGGGGTCGAACTTGAAGATGATTTTTCCTGGCTTAAAAACCGTGGATCCAAGGTAAGCAAAGTGTTGATTATCTTTTGTGACCAGTACCGCACTTCTCCTTAATTAGTCCATGGCCCTTTCATGAGAACTCAGACCATGATCATTAGTTTGATAAGTCTTGATTTTCTGGTTAGTTCGAGTAGCTAATACAAGAGAGACGTTTTTCTGAATGGTGTTCTGAACGTCAATTTCTGAAGGAGAAAATACCAAGAATTATTTAATTTCCAAAGAGATGAAGAAAAAGTTACAACATCAGTGGTGGATGTTGAACCTTTTTTCTGATGAATAGTGTTGTAAAAACACTGAATTTCTGTAGTCCTACTATTGAAAAGGTTCTATACAGCAACACTACATCAGTGGGAAGGAAAGGGGGGCGGAGGGCAGATGTTAAAAGGAATATTCCTAGATCCTGCTTAAAAGGAGGTTAATTAAACTGTCGTGAAAAAGAGAAAGAGGGAAATACTACTGTAATGGGATTAAGTACATTTTTTATATATGAGATAAAGTTTACAAGTTGATAAGCTGATTTGTTATATTAAAGACAAAAAGAGGTTTCCTAGTAACCAAAAAGAGGAAGCAGTAAGTGTTAGATACTAGATAACTGGTCATTTGTTGCTAATTTCAGGCTGTACGGAATTACATAAAAGCAGAAAACAGGTAGATTTTTTTTCCAATTGATCAGCTGTATTTTTGTATGGATTTCCTGATATAAGTTATGAAATTGATAATATTGTGTTGTTGTTGTTGTTTTATGTGTTTACTATCTTGCTTCCTTTCACAGCTATGCAGAAGCTGTTCTGGCTGACACAGAAGGCTTCCAAGAAAAGCTGACCGAGGAAATGAATGACTGGCTTGAAAAGCACAGTGATGATGAATCAGTCCCTGAAGTAAGTTGTTTCCTTAGACAAGGAACTTTACTCCACTTTGTCTCTCTTCACTCAGGCCTATAAATGGTTACTGGCACCATACTGTGATGGACTAGTATCCCATCCAGCGGGGAGTAGCAATACTACTAGGCATGCTTCAATGCTTCATGCTATGGAAACTGGTATAAGCTCCGGCCGTTTGGGCCTTTAGCTCGTGTGCGCCCTTATCCTTTCCCTTTGTCTTAATTTCTTGTTCTCATTTGCAGGAGCTAGATGGATATATTTATTATTTAAGCAATCCACCTAAAGGATCTTATCTTCCTGTATATTGTAGAAGAAAAATATTAGAAGGTGAGTGAAAGGCTCACTCTTAGCCTACACTATAACCAGTAAACATGCTTAATAACCAAGGCAGTTCCATCTATAAGAATTATACAACTGAAATGCCTTTGTTTTATAATTTTTTTTAATGATTTGTTGTATCACTGTAACAAAATAACAAAATGATGTTCCCAGCTTTCCTCAAAGAAGAATAGTGGATCCTATTTCTTGGACCACTTCAAAACAAGACAATATGACTTGACAAAAATATTTTAGGGAATCTAAGACAGGGGTTGTGTGGTTCCAAAAACAAAAAAACATTTAATTGTGTGAGTGATTCAAGGTATTTTAAAATGCCATGTAAAACAAGGCTTCTGATATTAGAAGATCTCAATTTAAATCTGATCATACTCCATAAGAAACCTTAGGAATGATCCCTGATCTGGACAATAATAAATGACAAACCTAAATGCTGATTAAGGCTATTTAGCACTGGATGGATGTGACCCCTCCCCTCTTGAAAATTATTTATAATTTACTATTAGCTTTTGCACCCTAAAGAAGACTGTTTAATTTATCTGTATGGCACCCCAGAGTTTTTGTTGTTGTTGTCTTTTATTACCATCTATATTTTTAAATGGAACCCCTATTTTCTGTAGATGGTTCCTATGGTGAACAAGAAATAATCCTAAATCAAAATGAGCTCATAGAGCGATATCCTCATGTGTCCATTCCTGTCATTAAGATGTCTCCCTCAAGAAGGGTATGGTGCTGTTAATAACTTTCACTGGTACTTATGTGATAAACCTGGTTGATTTATTTGTTGTCTGTTTTTGTGTACTTTTTTACCTTGACTGTTCATAACTCACTATAATATTCCACCGTGAAATGAACTCAGCTAGTTCTCTGACTTAAGATACTGCAAAAAGTTGTGGAAAGATTAACAAATGGTTCACACTTTTGTACATATATATGTAGAGCCTGAGTACAGATAGACTCTGGATCAAGCTAATGCAAGTTAATTTTGTTACTCTTTATTTTGATCTATAGACAACATTCTATGGGTTTCCTTTTAAATTAAGTAACATAGTATTACAGTATTTATATTTTGAATATTTTGGATTTTACACAAGCTTTAACCATAATATTTTGCTTTTGGCCATGGGAGTTTAAGGACTACTTGGAAAATTTGATACTCATAGCACAGATGCGG